GAGGCCGGTTGGCATGTCTTGAGATGTTGTTGCGCTGGGGTTGAGCTTGGCTTCTTCCTTGATTGTTTCGGGGTTGAGAGCGACAGTCACTGATTCTGTGGCCCATGCGTCCGCAGTTGTAACAGGGGCCTACTTGGCGTTGTCTACGGTGTTGTACTTGGGCGTTGTCTACTTCCATGTTGCCATCTTGGCGCTGGCGTGGAGGATACGCATGAGGTGGGCGACTTCCTTGGTGTCGGTTGTTGAACTGATGGTGGCGATCTTGAAATCGTTGATGCGGGCGGCGATCGTGGCGATGAAAGCGGTCGCGGTCTCTGGCGTGACCATCATTAAGGGTCGAGTTGTGGGAGCGTTCATAGTCCAGGGCAACTTGGATCGCGAGAGTCACAGTCTCACAACGACGATACTGCAACTCCTCACGAGTTCTGGTTCGCAGATCACGTTGGAACCAAGACACCTTGTCGCGCTCGGTCATGTCGCACACTTGCGTACAGATTCGTCGGAACTTGGCAACATACTCCGTCAAGCTCGCACAGTGGTCTTGCTTCAATTCGTAAAGCTGATCACGCAGCCGATCTTGTAAATCGTCGGGTTCAAACTCGGTTCGCAGCTCTTCTTCCAGTTCGATTAGGGTGTTTGGAGACTCACCGCGCGAAAGCCGTTCTTGGTACCAGGCTGCGGCAAAAACGCGGAAATTTGCCACCATCATGGCAATGCATCGCTGTTGAGTCCCATCGGGTTCTTGGTAATCCACGTTCTTTGCCTTGAAAAAGGTCGTAACTTGGTGGACGTATAGGCTAATACTTTCGTCCATTTGTCCATAATACTTCGGCACCTGTAATCCTTTAACTCTAAGTTCTGTTTGTCGTATCGCTCGTTCGATGTGTTGACTGGCCATTCGCTCGCTCGCTTCCACTTGAGCGGCTTGGGTACGGTTAAGCATTTCCAACAGCTGTTCATGTCGCTGAAAGGATTCTGCCATTGTGCGCAAAACTTCATCCATCTTGTAATTCTGGTGAAATTCAATTACTCTACTTCGAACTTCGATCTACTCTCGCTTCAGCCTTGATCTTCCGGGTCTTGTGGTACACTTGGATCTTGCGGTCGAGGACTCCTTCAATCAGTTCTTCGGTTTGGTCGTTCCGGTGGATCAATAAGTCTGTGATCTATTGGATAGCGTTACGCGCGTCGGATTTCTTCGCTTCGGGGATCTGGGCACGCAACTTGTTGATAACCACGCGTTGGTGACGGGTCAACACGCGAAGGTCTTGGCGTAGCTTAACCGGCAGATCCGGACAGTCGAATAATTGGCCGATGTTTTTCGTGGCCGCGAGTTGGGACTTGAGGGTCTTGCT